CATTAATGGGGATGCAACCGTGGTAACATTCTGATATGTTCTTACTACCATCATGCTATGTGTACTATTCCAGGTGATACTTAATGTGCGGTATATATCAGGTGCCTTCAAGAGAGGTCAGAGTTTCAACTGGCTCAGCCATGTCAATATTTCAATATTGTTATTATTATCGACTCTGTATCCATATTTTTTCTATGTAAATAAACTGTTTCAATGCCAATACAACATTGAAAAGCCTCCAGGTGCCTTAATAATGCGATCTTCACGCGGACTAAAATTACACCCCCCTCCCCTCCATAAGACCAAACGGAAATACTGCACTTGGTAAAAAAATAACGGGTACACTCGTGGTTGCCAAAGATGATACATAAATTCAATTATAGCTGTTCTTAAGCTCTTTATTGAATAATTCTACACTTTTTGTTACGGTATTCAACGGCGATATTACCGTACTGATGTAGCTTCTAGTTATTTTATACGCTGAATGTTTTCATAATACTGTATCCACAAGTTCCCAGAAAATCAAGAAAATTATTTTGAAATGTCTGTAATTATGTGACGGTGTTTCTTCTTATCACGGATATTATATTAAGAGCCCAAATGTTCAACAGCATACCGTCTGCTATATAATCTGTATTTCTGAGAAAATACGTCATATCAGCAGTAATTTTTTTTTTTACGGGGATTAGCCCACCCGGGCACAGGTCACTGACCCACATCGGGGCCTGGGGGGAATGTAATAATAATTGTAATGATGATAATTATGATAATAATAATGAACCATAAATAAATACAAAAATGAAAAAAAGATCAGAAGTGAGAAACAATATATGTATGTTGTGTTGTCATAGTAAGAGAAACAATTGAGACCCTGCAAATGTGTGTAAATGAAGCAGAAAGTCAGATCAGCAACCTGGGACTTGGTCACATATGGCAGCAGGGTCTACCATAGACAACACATTATGCTTCCAATATCTTCCCAGGCGGTAGTACCTCCCTGTTTGGTAGCTGCCTAATACCTACAACCTAGTTTTACATCAAATAAGGCATTTTAATTCTACAGTAACGGACGTCTTGATGAGGCTGTGGACATTTTCAGTTAATTAAGCTGAAGACGTCACTGCTGACATTTGCTGGAGCATAGGGTTTTCTGAACTTACACTCCCCCAGAATCTTATAAATAAATCTGGGATATTTTCAATATCTTTTGATCCACGCACGACCATCAAGACTTCGACTTACTTATTGTAACTATTAACTTGCTACTCCTGAGCACACACGCTGCCTATCCCTCGAACTCCTCATTGTGTCTATCATTTTATGTCAAAAATTTCCTCGTTTTTCCAACATGCTCAGCTCACTTAGGTTTGGTTTCCTTTTATATGAACTTTTCATTTACCATATCGTTAATTTCTTCATTACTAACGTTACCATTTTCTCACGCCAAAGCCAATTACTACAAATAAAACGGGTTCCCTCTCATCGCTTTCATACGTATGATACCCTTCTCGCCATTTTTTTTACTACTAACAGTAATTCCCGCTACTCCAGCACCTTTTTAATTTACGCAATATCAACTCTACAGCGTTTCATTTACGTCAGGTGCTGAATTTGACTAAGGTTTGAGAGGCCTGACTTCGTGGAAGGGTACGTACTTCATCAAGAGGTCATACTCATCCTTATGGAGAACACTTTATTTAAAAGTATGCCTATGTTCCCGAAAATTAAGTTTTACAGACCCTAAACTCATTTCCTAATACGATTTTTTCCTTTCAAAAAACGAACACATAAAATCCGAACAAAAATCCTGTAGTGAGATTATCCTGTAATATTGGCGAATTCGCAAAGTCCCCATGTGGTATTTACTAGAGTATCAGAGGGATGTAAAGAACTTAGTACTGTATGCCATTAGCCAACTTGACTAATGTCATTAAACTCGGGCGTTGTGCCAGACCCCTGTAGGATAGTGAATGAAATTAACTCTTAATCAATTAAACTTCAAATGTGGGAACATTTTAGAATCAATAGTTACCAATTCGAAATCGTCTCAGAGAAAAAAGTTGATTAATGACTCAGTAAGGCTTTTCAGGAGGGCGTTTGTCTGACAAATCTGTTATAAATTTTTAAGCGTTTTCGAATTTGTGGACAGTGGACACGACTGCGATGTACCTGTCCGGAAGTTCCGTACTGATTTCAAACATACAGTATGTGAAAACGGCATAAGATACTGAAATGCAGTTTTTCTTTATTGCATTTACTTGGGTGAAAAACTTAACTTGAATACTTACTCTTTCAAATGCAAAAAACCGCATTTCAATATTTTATGCCGTTGGCACATTATGAATGTTTGAAATCAGAACGGGACTTTATGGACACCCTATCTGTATTACCTCTCGACTAGAATAGCCTAAATGGCAAAGTGGAGGCATATGGAGCTGGAGGAAAAATTCTTTATTGGATTAAGACACGGTTAACCAGAGAAAAAGTCATCATTAATGGTACAAAATCCGAATGGGGTAACGTACCCCAAGGCTTAATACTGGGATCGTTACTATTTATTACATACATTAACAACATAATATACCGGTACAGGAGTGAACGGCAAAATATGATGTGAATTTGCCGACAAAAAAACTGATATTTAGGGGAAAGGAAGAAGAGAAATTAAAGAATATCACTATCAGAAAAGAGGATGTTCTTAAGAGGATAAATAAACTAAAGAAGACAAAATCCCCAGGGCCGGATGACATTTTCCCTCGAGTCTTGAAAGAGTGTAGGGAACAGATTAGCGGACCCCTCGTAAACTTATTTACAAAATCATTAGACACCGGAGTTGTGCCATACTTGTGGAAACAGGCAAATGTAGTACCCATATTCAAAAAGGGAGACAGAGCATTAGCGTCAAATTACCGGCCGATCAGTTTGACGTCAGTAGTGGGGAAATTTCTTGAATCAATTATAGTAGATAGCATCCAATCGCATCTAGAGAAAAGCAAATTAATCTACGACTCTCAACATGGGTTTACAAAGGGAAAATCTTGTCTAACAAATCTGCTGACTTTTTTTAGGAAAGTCTTCGAGGTAGTAGATAATGACGAAAATTACGATGTTATTTACTTAGACTTTAGCAAAGCATTTGACAGAGTACCGCATCAGAGGCCTCTGAGAAAAATTAAGGCTCATGGTATCGAGGGAAAATTTTTAAATTGGATAAAATCATGGCTCACCGATAGAACAGAGGGTCAGCGTAGATGGTGTTAAATCTGAGTGGGGCCGTGTAACCAGTGGGGTTCCCCAGGGGTTAGTACTAGGCCCACTCTTGTTCATAATCTACATAAACGATCTAGATACTGGGATCAGCAGTGACATAAGCAAGTTTGCGGATGACACCAAAATAGGGCGGCAGATTAATTCAGGGCAGGATGCAATTGCATTACAGGAGGATCTAAATAAACTGCAGGGGTGGTCTGAAAAATGGCAAATGAAATTCAACACCAGCAAGTACAGCGTACTTAATATTGGAAGAACAAATACTGACAATGTATACAGCCTTAACAACATCAACCTAGAGAAGTCGACTTGTGAAAGAGACCTAGGGGTACTTGTAAGCCTGGACCTACGGCCTAGAAAACAGTGCGTTAATGTTCGAAATAAGGCAAACAGAGTATTGGGTTTTATATCTAGAAGTGTAAGTAATAAGAGTGCAGAGGTCTTATTGCAACTATATCTTGCGCTCGTCAGGCCGCACCTCGATTATGCGGTTCAGTTCTGGTGCCCCTATTATAGAATGGATATCAATTCACTTGAGTCGGTGCAGCAAAGAATGGCGAAAATGATTCCGGGACTCAGAAACCTTCCATATCAGGATAGGTTAAAGAAACTAAACTTGCATTCCCTAGAAAGACGAAGAGTGCGGGGAGATATGATAGAAGTATTTAAGTGGGTGAAAGGAATCAATAAAGGGGATATAGATAAAGTTCTTATAATAACCGAGCGGGATAGTACTCGGAGCAACGGATTCAAGTTGGATAAGTTTAGGTTTAGGAGGGAGATAGGAAGAAACTGGTTCACAAATAGGGTGGTGGACGAGTGGAACAAGCATAGCAACTATGTAGCAAGTGCTGGAACTCTGGAAAGTTTCAAAAGGAGGCTAGATAGATTCATGGATGATAGAGTGGTAGAAACTCTCGACAGGAGCTGCCATGCACAGGCCAACCGGCCTATTGCAGACTCCTTATGTTCAAACTCAGGAAGGTTTGCGCTCAGATGCCTTGACAACGTCTGGTTCTCACTTATTAAGGGACTTGATTACACCGGACTTTTTCTCCCAGAACTTAAAACTAAAAAAAGTGAATCCACGTTATTTTCCCCTTTCATCTCTGTTGATATATACAGTATTTAAAGTTTAATTAGAGAAGATAATTAGGTTCGACACTAAGATTGTCAAAAGTTCGTATGTGAAATTTTCATCGTACTTTGATATATACGAATGCATCATCTGACTGATTTAGGATGAAGCACACAAGGCTATAAATGGCACCAAATTATACAGCTTTCTGTTAATCTACTTAACTATGATCACCGAACACCGTGTTAGGGACAATATCTGTTGTGAATCTGGAACCTAACAGCATCTCACAATATATTGTCACTATAAATACGGCCGTTTTCTCACGTTGAGGATTCGAATGTTCAATACGGTTATGGAAAAATGCATCAGGGATCTTTTTCATTGTTAGGCTATAAGTCAAATTTACTTCATTTCGTACCCTTTATGTGGAGTAAACGGACCAGCTTTCTCTCACTACACCTTCACATTCCTCTCCTGGGGGCTTAAATCCACACAGACTTCACTCTTCTAAACACTTATAGTATACATATATAGTAACGGCTAATAAAATTCGACCACTACATATATTTATGGTGAAAGTGATATGCACAAGTGTATAAACAAGAAACATTGAAACAAAATAACAGCACCAATAAAGAATCATGCTTACCAACTGCACCATCTTGAAGTTTGGGAGTGTAGTTTAACTTCACTAACAATAGTTAAAGGCAGTGATCCTGAAAGGACAAGTGAGAGTTGAGGCGTGGCAGGCAGGCGGATGAGTGGGTCTGAGTCACCGTGAGGAACACTCAACGGGAAGACGGTTATAACAGCTGCAGATGGTAGCTTAACCCGCCAACACCCTCACTATACTACCTCACTCTTCTCCAACACCAACACTGACCCTATATAGAATAAAAAATAAATAAAACAAATCGCAGAGCACTAAGTATAGATCCAAGCCCGAACACCTAGATGCAATATGAACTGATATTCGATACAAAAAATATTCTACATTAACACTCCCATGCAGTTATCTAATCAAGTTTATATATATATATATATATATATATATATATATATATATATATATATATATATATATATATATATATATATAATGGTCCTTTTTTTAAATTTCCTTTGTTCACCATACACTTTTTTTAATGTTTGCTTACTGTTACAGTTCTATACAGTCACCATAGTATTTTGCAAATAATAAATCAAACGACTCGAGTCCACTGATATCACTGGTACACCAAAAAGCAAGCGAATACACCACACTAACAGAGAAACAGGGTAGACTGTGCTCCCGCCGAGCTCTGATTCAAAAGTGGCGGGTGGAGGCCAGATGGGGTGGTGTGGAGCGCGGGCCGGCTGCTAGTGACGCCCACAACCCCCCACAACCCCCTCAAAGATCCCCACAACCCCCTTCCTTTCCTCGTTCAACAGGTGACGTCGGTGGGGGAGGGTGCCGACTGTCCAGTACCTACTTTTTTTTTCGTTATGCACACAACAGTAAGATTTCTTAAAATGATGCTGGGTAACATGAACAACAAATTGTCCTTTTTATGTAATTATAAAAAACAAATAAAAATACTGCCGCTTCAAAATACTGTGCTATCGTTTGTTTCTCTTGGAAGTTGTCAGTGCGTGGAGGAGAGTAAATGTGGGAGGGAGAGTGAGGGGTGGAGGTGCAGGTGGGAGGTGAAAAGCAATACTGGTGGATGATTGGCGAATACCAAGGAGTAAGAGAAGAGGGAACCAACTGTGATGCACACCTACAACTGTCTAATGGTAAACCCTGCTGCCATATGGCATCACAAAAATTGAGGCCAAGTCCCAGTTTGCTGATCTGACGTTTTGCCTCATTTACACTCAAGTGCAGGGTCTCAGTTGTTTATCTTACTATTGACAACACAACATATACTGTATATTGTTTCTCACTCTTGATATACTTTTTTCGTTTTTGTATTTCTTTTCGGTTCATTATTATTATTATTGCAGTTATTATTATTGTTGCAATTATTATTATTATTGTTTTTATTATAAATTTTACTTATCTGAATTATTATTATTACATTTTCGCCCCCAGGCCTTCCTTGACTAACATTTTACTCGTGAGGGAGTATGATCAATCCCGATCTAAAGCATTTATGTCTAATTCTTGGTCAATCTGGATCACTGCTGTATGCCTGAAACTATCGAGCGTCGTATGCGTCACAGTACAGTGTTACTGCCTGAACAACACAGCGCCACGCCATAAATACAGCTTGAATATGCGTTATAAGTTACCAAACTCCAACAACATGACCCCGAGCCATAACTTACATTTACCGTGTCCCTCAATATTATCAATGCCTATGGCCTGGCACTAGGAACCGGCCACGCTTTGCCATAAACAGATAAATTGTTACCGGGAAATTTCCCCCCACACTCATCATTCTGTCACTTTATGTAACTTGCTGACAAAACCCATGACCATTCAAGCTTTTACGCCCTTAATGCATGAGTCATAACGGCAAGCATGAACTCGAAAAAAAATCTAGTCCCCTCACGGGGCAAATTATAAAAAAAAAATATATATGTGGTGGTACATAGTCTTAACGCTTTTCCATTTTATATATATCTTGATAAAATCACACGGGAAAAGGGAAACAACGGAGCACCTTAGCTTTCGTCTTTATTCAAGACATCTGGAGGATGAGGAATGATGAATAACAATAACTAAACTAAATCTGTAGCAAACACACACACACACACAAATATTGCCATTATAGAATGTACAGTCTGGTTCAAAAGTAATTATTCATCCCTCTTTGTTGAATAGGAAAAGGCGGATGAAGATTAGGTTTGACCCTAGGTGTATATGTAAATGTGACTGTGGGCCTTTAATTGAGTGATTAATCATTGGTGTGAACAGTGACACACTTCGTGCTTCTTGTCAATTCCCTGAACTTTGGTACAAATGATGTGATAGCCAGTCTAAGACAATGATGGTGTTCATTGGTGATGCTGTTGCTGTATTTGTTCTTCACTGAATTCATGGCAGAGAAAACGACTCGCACTGGTAAGTGGAGCCAAACATTGTGAGGATATGTAATGTGACTTTGTGAAGATATATCCAGAATCACAGTTTATCAACCTCTTCTTTCAAGGCCAAATTTTCTTGGAGATTAATTAATTCCATTAGGATTGATGCTGCACACACCAAGAAGTGGACCTGAGTGAACAGAAATAGCTGTCTTCCAAGAGAGATATCAACACGAGCCTTGAAACCTTCAGTAAGTTTATCGATGAACTGAACATGCATATGGTTATATTTCCTTCCTTTGGTGTGCTCCAAAAGTTTGGGCAAGTGGAGAACTTCTCCCTGGAGATCGTGCTTAAAAAGTTAGTTTCATCTAAAAGCTCTAACAGTTGATATTAGATCACACAGTGTTTCCTCCTCGCAGCTTGACATTGAGAGCATTGAGATGAGATGTAATATCTGCTAAAAATGCTAAAATTTCCATTTCTTTTTGTCTTGCAAAAACTCGGATAAACTAGTTTGCCTTTTCACTCGTTTGGTAGTGTGTGCGCGCAGGGGGGGTCCGCACCGAAGCTAACCGCGGTCCGCCCATACAGCATAATAATACAGGGAATTGTGTAACCAGAGATTTCATGAAATCCCTAAAACGCTTAGTAAATTATATGTAATTACCTAACCAAACATTATTACATATAACTTGTTAAACGTTTTAGAGATTTCATGAAATCACTGGTTAGTGTTCCCCGGTCAGTCGTGGGCCGTGGGTTCGAATCCTGGCGGGTTGAGGTGTTGATATTATATATACAGTATATATATATATATATATATATATATATATATATATATATATATATATATATATTTATTTATTTAATAATAATAATAATAATAATAATTAACTGTTTATTTAAAAATTTCTGCAGCCCGAAGGCTGAAAATATATATTGGACATAAATGACTTATTACATACATTGGTGGTTTAACAAAAGCCTTCATTAGAGAAAGGTAAAGGACATACAGTTAACATACAGATTAATGTAGGTGTTGAACAGCAAACACGTAATGTAGTAACTCCCTCACAAATGGTGTTAGGAGGGGCCTCACGTGGTATAGTAGTTCCCTCACAGATGGTGTTATGAGGGACCTGACGTGGTGTAGTAATTCCCTAACAGATGGTGTTATGAGGGACCTGACGTGGTGTAGTAATTCCCTCACAGATGGTGTTATGAGGGACCTCACGTGGTGTAGTAATTCCCTCACAGAGGTTATATGAGTGAGGTGTGGTCCCAGGCCTTCCTATCGCAGACGGATTAACACATCCCTGGTTGTTGTTGGGTCTCACGAGCAGTTATCACTGGGGACTTGGGACCTCACTGTGTGAAGATTAACTTGGGCACGACTCGGCTGTTACTGTCGAGTTGTTCTCATTGACTTAAGCACTGTTCACCTCTGTTCAACACTGGTTCCATTCCTTTCATAAATGAAATTGTAACTTCTGGCGAGAACCTGTTGGTATGGATCAACTTAACAGTTGACCTGGCTGCTCCAAGAGGAACGCCAGGTACGTCTTGACCCTTTGGTGGTCAAGGAGGAGGAGGAGGAGGAGGAAGAGGATGATGATCATAATAATAATAATAATAATAATAATAATAATAATAATAATAATAATTAGCGGTTTATTGAAAGAGCTTGGCAGCCAGAAGGCTGAAAATATAGTTACATATTGGGGAATGGGTTTCGAATTACAAATAATATACAAGTAACATAAGTGATACAAATAAGATATATAATAACTAGATGGGGAAAAGCTCAAACTACAGTGCATTTCTACATAGTGACTGCAAGAAGTAGTATTTACTGGGAGTGAATACACTGGTTTATTACAAGTTATTGATAATTTTTACAATGGTTGGGACTGGGCTGTTCTTATAGCGATCAGTTCGTGCATGTATGGGCTGGATGCGGTTGTGGTATCGAACAGCAATTCTCGGGATAGGGATCTCAGGTGGTAGTAGGAGCCCGAAGAGGCACACTGCAGTCAGTAATCGGCCTGTAGGTCTTGATGTAGGGTCTCTGTACTTGAGTGGGAGTGGCAGCTGGGGACCAGAGCACTGATAAGTGTGCTACACCCGATAGGAGGCATTGGTTGAGGTGGTTGGTACTGGTCCGCTAAGTCAGTTAAGATAAGGTCAAGGGTATTTTGACCGTGTGTGGGGAAGTTCACAACTTGTGATAGTGATAGCTGGTCCTGGATATCAGTGGTGTCAATTTCATTATAATCCCCACATAATACTAACTTGGCACATGGGTACCTAACTCTGAGGTGGTCTGAGGTGGTGATGAGATGATTGATAAGAGTGTCTGGTGGGTGATCGAGGCGGATGGTATGCCACACAGATTATGATGGAAGCAGTGTGGCGCGGGTGGGCCCGTGGCACAACACGTACCCATAATGCTTCCACATCTGCTGGGACTTGAACATCCAGGCGTGACGGGCGTAGGTCATCTTGACAGAAGAGGGCAACGCCCCCTCCGCGTCTATGTGAACGAAGGTGATGAAAGAGTTGATATTCCTCAATATGACACGTTTCAGGCACAATTTGCCAAGCCTCACATATGGCAACGACGCTCGCGGCGGCTGACCTGACTGTAGTTGCCAGCTCGTCGAACTTGTTAGCTAGGGAAGTGACGTTGGATAGCAGTAAAGACGGGAGACCATACCATATCCGTGGAACTTCAGTGTAGTGGTACGGTCTGTCAGGGGTGGGTTTTTCCGGTTTCCTAGTGGAGGTTACGGTCCTAATGGGCTTATGTGTATGACGGCCCTGTCTACGGCTACGCGCGTGGAATGTGTGTGTGTGATTCCATGTATTTTCCCCTTCTTGTTATTACAGCAAGCCCCCACCTTAATATTTAAATTAGTAACCACGTCAAATTTATTTGTTGATGAGAAATTTTTGGCTTACGTAATGGTGTTGTTTTTACCGTCTTGAATGTGCCCTCTATCACGGCTCTTCTAATACCATCTACCCTTTGAGGAGACGCACAACAGTTGAGTGTGTGCTTGAATGAGAACACAGCGTTGGCTAATATCCTCCCCTGGGTACTGTACCTTCAACTTATACTCGACCACGTCGACTTCCAAAGTCTCGACGTTATCATTTTCTCGTAACCGAAGGTGTACGAAAGCAGTGAGGTAGCAGACTAAAGTTATAGCACAAAAATAACCATCACGTTTTCATAACGCCAGGTATTAAAACACAAATTACTGTACGTTCACGTGTATTACCTAAATGTGGACACGGGCCTCGTCCGCTG